AGACTTGAGGCGACCATCAGCCTCAGTGGAAGCCCTAGGCGCCCAGGAGAGAGGCCAGAGCTGGAGCTCTGTCTACACTGTGGGTCCTCGGCAGACAGGTGGCTTCTGAAGCCACAAAACCTGTGAGATGACGTAGACAGAGTGAAAGGGTTGGAGCAGAGTCCTGGGCCCCCCCATAGGAAGTCAGGAAGAAGAGCAGGGCCCAATAAAGAAAACCAGGAAAAACAGCCAGTGCGGCAGCAGGAAAACTAGAGGACTCGGCATCTCAGAAGGCAAGTAGACGACGGGCACAGGAGCCCCGCTCAGAACACCCACAGGAGCGCTATTCCCAAGCACCAGGGGCCAGACGTGTCCTCACATCCACCAACAGGTGAGAGGACAAGCACATGGGGTTCGTTTCTACAGTAACACACCAGACAGCAGTGAGAACAGCGAACCACACACAAACCAATCTCCCAACGAGGCTGAGCTGAAAAGACAGAAGCGCTTCCTTACAGGGTGCCAGAAGAGCTGCTACCAGAGTGTAGGCGTGTCCAAAGACCCACAGAGACACAGTCAGAGAACTCAAGGAAAACGGAGTTGAATGAATGAAGAGACAGGAAATGTCATCAGGGGAAGAGAAATGGTAAAACAAACCAACAAAAAAGACCAAACAGAAATTCTAGAAATAAAAACACAGCAGGTGCAACAAAAACCCCCTTAACGGGCTTGGAGAAGAGGTCAGTGAGTGTGAAGGTAGGTGAACAGAGACAAAACGACCCGGGGACAGAGATGTGACAGGAGGAGCAGAGCCTCAGGAGGATCTAGCGACCTAACACAGGTGTGACAGGAGTCTTAGGAGGAGGGGAGAGCAAAGATAGGGCAAAAAAGTCCCCAAGAAGGATGGCTGAAAACCTCCCAAATGGATCAGAAACATCAGCTAACAAATCCAAGACGTTCAGCAAACCCCAAAGTAGGATAAACACAAAGAAAACCCTTCCTGGGCACACCACAGTCAAAATGCTGAGACCAAAGATAAGGGGAACATCCTGAAAGCAACCCACGAAAAAGGGCACATTACAAACAGGCGAGAATCCGGTCTCTCAACAGAAAAACAAGGAGGCCAGAAAGCAATGGAGCGGCGTCTTTAAAGTGCTGAACGCGAGAAAAACCTGTCAACTCAGAATCCTGTATCCAGTGACTAGATCCTTCAAATACATGGATGGAAAACACCTGCAGGTAAGCGAAAACTGAGAGAGCGCCACCGACGGCCTCCACTGCGGGAAACAGAACAGGGGCACGAAGCCGAACGCTCTCAACTGCACAACACGGAGCTATTACATTAGACAAAAATTAGAGATTGGTTTAAAAAGTGAGACTCACCATGGAAATCCCTCCAAGAGATAATGAAGGTCAGGACAGAGACCACGAAGTAGGCACTCGTGTGCCTGAGTCAGCAAGCTCACCTACAGCATATACCTCGTTCTCTGTTGCTTTTTACTTGATTGATTTATGCTTCAATGTTGAACTGAGTTATAAAGACCGAAAAAGCATTCACTGTTAGAAAAAAGAGTTCACGATGAACTTTATATACTATCCGTATTTGCTACTGATGAAAAAATAAAATAGATTTACGTTGTCATCTGAAAGTGATGACAAGAAAAAATCTTTAAGGCAAAGCTAAGACTTTGCATCGGATGTACTACAATAATTATGAGCACCTGATGTCATGATTTATGTATTTTTTTTCCAAGCTAAAAGTGACACTGACAAAATATATCATCACTTGAGAACTCAGAGGCTGTTACTTTTGGTGATGGGAATGTGGCTCCAAGTGTAGAAGCAGTCAGCACAGCACACCACAGTAAAGACAAGTGTCTGAGCTCAAACAGAAAGATATAAACACAATTAAAGAGAACACTGACAAACTGTGATAAATGTAACTAATGTTAAAAAATTTATCTGGAAATTTATAAAAAAAAAAAAATCATTGTGGAATATACAGTTTTGAAATAACAGTAATAACCACTAAAAAATATGTGTTTGCATCCAAACTCCCTGAGGGACCAAATTACTGTGCTGAGGGCTGTGGGGACTATGGTCTAGGGGAACACCTAGCTCAACTGACGTAACATACTTTATAAAGAAAATGTTCTACATTTGACTTCGGTGAGTAGTGTCTGGGGTCTTAAAAGCCTATAAG